GATCAGAAAAGCTCACTTGAGCTTTCAGCTCAGGTGAGCTAAAAAGAATATTTTATTCAAATCATAGAAAAGCATTTTATGTTTCTTTCCGAGCACCGATGACATTTTTTATTGAACAGCCATCGTGTGCTTCATCAACTTCAGACAACATGTTTTTTTACCGTTAAATGTATGTTTTGCATTTGAATTAATTATTTTGTATATTTAAATTAAGATGAACAATAAAAATCCAGCCCAACCAACCAAAAACTAAACTCCTTAAATCAATTTTTAAAAAATTAAATTAAAATACATAAAAGTTGTTAAAGTAATTTTTTAAAAAATTCAAAACTTTGATTAACTCCAGTAAAAGCTTTGAAACTTTGATTTACTATAGTGAAAACTTTGGAACTTTGATTTACTACGGTTTTAACTTTGGAACTTTGATTTACTCTAGTGAAAACTTTGGAACTTTGATTTACTATAGTGAAAACTTTGGAACTTTGGTTTACTATTATAGTGAAAACTTTGGAACTTTGATTTACTGTAGTGAAAACTTTGGAACTTTGATTTACTATAGTAAACTATAGTTAACTATAGTTTACTATTATAGTATTTTTTGTTAGGGCTTTTATGGAACGCCGTCACTGCCTTATAGCAGAACACTACAATTGCATTGTGTCAACTTTCCATTACATTATGTCAACTCTTTATGACATTAACACACACTACTATTGCGTTATGTCAACTTCTCATTACATTATGTCAACTCTTTATGACATTTACAAACGCTACTATTGCGTTATGTCAACCTCCCATTACATTACGTCAACTCTTTATGACATTTATACACACTACTATTGCGTTATGTCAACTTTCTATTACATTTTGTCAACTCTTTATGACATTAACACACACTACTATTGCGTTATGTCAACTTTCCATTACATTATGTTAAGTCTTTATTGCATTAACTCGCACTTCAATTACATTGCGCCGATCTTCCATTGCATTATATCAGCTCTTTATGACATTAAGTCAAAACAATTTTACGTGGTGTAAAGATGTTATTATATAGTTTAAACTCATTATTACATTATGTGCACTCTCTACTATTTGGTCTAAGTAGTTCATTATATGATGTGAATTTATCTTTAATTCAATATCAAGTTGCTATAACACGATGTCAGAATTTCATACATGATGTGAAAAAAATTGTCACATGTGGCCAATTCTTTACTATATTGTGTCATCAATATGCTACATGACGCCGGGAATCTATTACATGATGTCAATTTTCCCTTACTTTTTGACAAATCATTATTATGTTATGCCATTGTATCTTTACATTGTGTCTAAAATGCTTAGCCTCATGTCAGTATATCTTAGAATATTTCAACTCTTTATTATGTGACGTAAGGTTTACGTTATGCCTAAAAGTTCGTTTTGTGTTTTCAATATTACATGCACATATGTTAAACATGCAAATAATTTAAATCAAATGTATCAAATATTAAACTATACACAAGACTTAATTAATTCTTAATTACATATCAGGTTAAATTAAAAATAGGATCATGTTCCCATGGAATCTTTATTGACGATTTGAAAAGTCCGAAACTTCTGATCTAACTACAAAACACTGTCCTAAGCTTTTTATAAGTCTTTAACCCTCCTTTTTTAAAAAAAAAAAAGTGTAAATACATATCGTATTTCATACGTGCACTGGTGGGTCGGTGGGGAAAGGGAGGATCCCACCCTCCCATCTTTAGTGACCAAAATATGCATGAAATTAATCAATTGATTTTACTTTATAGGACATTGCATTAGTTTTACATTATAACTGAAATAAGTTGAAACGTTTTATAAAAAAAATCTAAAGCCTGAGAGCTTTCGGGCTTTAACCCCCTGGTCCCCAACTTAAACACCATCCCCCTATAGCTACTCTTTTCAAGAACCAAAGATCGCAATTGATATGAGCCCGTGTTAACTAAGGCATGGTCAATTGATTTAAGTGAAAACGTAGATTTTTGTAACAGAATTCTGGTCCTGGAATGGTTGAAAAATTACTAATTCCAGTGGACGTTGCATCGTTTTTAAAAGCTGGGAGAGGTTTGTCAGCCAGAAAAAAAATAACGTACAAGAAAAAGCGAACAAAAAAAATATCCAAAATCCTATTTCGGGTGAAAGGAGGGGGGGGGTTCCAACTTCGATCAGTCCTTAAAAAAATTCCAAATATACTACATTACCCTTATACTTCAGCAAAATGTGGGACTGAATTTCAATGAACATTTTCTATGATAAAGTTATGTCGGAAAAAAGAGGAAGTCAGACCCCTCCCCCCTCATATAATGTGTCTGTAATTCGTCCTAATTAATCAGGACCCCCCTCCCTTCCCAGTCCTGAAAACACGGTTATCAACTTTGACATAATGTAAATGTATTTTACAGCGCGTAATGAACATTTGTAATCAACATGATAAAGAATTAACACAATGTAAAGATAGTTTTAAATCACATAAGAAAGGGTTAACATATTCTTATTAAATATCCAAATAAAGGAATGGAGTTTTGACATAACGTAATAAAGTGTTGATATAATATGGAACGCCGGGACTGTCTCCATAATATATGTTCACATTATGTTATTAACCTTTTTACATCACGTAATAAAGAACTGACATAAAGGTAAGATGTATTCACCTCACATTGTGATGACCTCGGCATAAAATAAAGATACATTAACATCACGTAATAATGCTTTGTTATAATAGAAATATACACTCACAAAAGGGAATGGACTTTGACTAAATGTAATGATAAATTTAATCATAGAACACAGGTAAAACGAAATTAACTTGACGTAATGCAATTTTGACCTCACATATTAAAGAAATGAAATAATATAAAGAAACATTCATTTCACGTAATTAAGTTTTAACACAATGTAAACATATTTTCACTTCACATAATGAACTTTGGTCTTCAAGTTATAAAGTGCCGACATAATGGAAGAATGCGTTTACTTCATGTAATGCAGCATTGACATGATGTAAAGATATTTTTACGTCACCCCATAAAAAATGATATAACGTAAAGATATGTTCACATCACGTAATGATAGATTGAAATAATGAATGCATAGTTTTATGCTATAAGGCAGTGATGGCGTTCCATAGGCTTTCGTGCATGCAAAATATACTCGTACCTCTACAGTTCAACATTTTATTAGGCTTACAATAGATGACTGCTTTTGAATACTGTTTTGGTTCACGTACTCTAGTTTCTATCGATTATTATCATTAAAATGCTTTTTGTTTCTTTAGTACATGTGGTTTTGATCCCACACTGATTTAATTTCTCGATGTTTTTTAAAGAATGTACTAATAAACACATGCTGTAGATTCACATCTAAATTATGGACTCACGTGCAAAAAGGAGCTCGGCTAAGTTTTTAATTTTTATCTATATAATTGGAATGTAAAGGGTCAATCTTTAAAGTTTTCAATAATTACAAGTATGATAATGTTTAATGGGGAGGAAACTGATCCTTTTGGTAATTGGGATACATATTTTCTTAAAGGTCTATAAATTAAATCATTGCTTTTGTCAAAGAGTATGTACATGTAGAGTGTTGTGTTTATCTTAATAATGAATACAAAAATATCAACGGTTGATGAAACTTTATTCACATAAGGATATCGATGCAGATGGAATTATCATAAAACAGAAATCGGACAGATCGTGGTGTGTATATATATATATATATATATAGAAAGCACAAAGAAATTCACTTTTACATGGATACCCACTGCCGCCCCAGCCCGGGGTTGAACTCTCGACCTTCGGAATCTGTCTCCTAGCAGGAACAGCGCGCTAGACCGCTCGGCTATCTAGGCAAGTCAAAAAACTTGCTTTCGATGCCGATGGAATTCTCGCGGCGCTGTCCTACACTACACGGTCATTGAGAATAATAGAATCATTCATTACTACGAGTGTGGGATAGTGAAATTCCACCGAGGGGACAAGATTCACAGTCTAGGACGAGGCTTTGTCGAGTCCTAGACCGTGAATCTTGGTCCAGAGGTGGAATTTCACTATTCCCACACGAGTATGTAATGAATGATTATTTTTCTCGCATAATTTTATCCAAAATAACGGCCTGTCAATGACGTCGCCATGATGGGGATAAAAAAATATTTTTAATTTTTCATCTAATTAAAAATCTAAATACACCATCGGAGAGAGCGTACCTGAAAATGGTTTACACGTAGTGTAAACTGATAAAATAAATTTCAGTGCGTGTAAATTAATCAGATAGATAAAAACTGGGAATAAAAAACTTATCTATCCGAGAGCGTAAAAGAAGAATCATTCCGCGATCTAAAAATAGTGCCATTTAAAAAGTGAAAAAACGACAATATTTTGAATGAAAATAAGTTTATATTACAGGTAAAATGACAACATTTTAAGTATGTGTAATATTTTTTTTTACATTGTTACAATTTCTTTATATAAAGACGGAATGTTTACGTTATCGTTCGCGGCGTAGTAATACACAGTGTAAGACAGAAAAATCTCACACTGCTGTCTCACACCGGACAAGTCAATCTTACACTGGTGATTATGCGAGAATAGAAGTGAGATACAGTTATTTGAACATTAGTTTTAACAGAGGATTGTTACCAATACATGTTGTAATGAAATTAATTATTATTTATAAAGCACATTTTACAACAACTCTCAATATACATATATATATTTTATATTTAACTTTTAACTGTCTGAAGAGCCATTAGGCAGAAAGCGCTAACAGTAAAAATGATTTTCGAGATTTGTGATTTCTGACTTTTTTTCATTGGATATATTTTACTGTACCAAAACACTATATATATATATATATATATATATATATATATATATATATATATATATATATATATATATATATATATATATATATATATATATATGTGTGTGTGTGTGTGTGTGTGTGTGTGTGGTGTGTGTGTGTGTGTGTGTGTGTGTGTGTGTGTGTGTGTGTGTGTGTGTGTGTGTGTGGGTGTGTGTGTGTGTGTGTGTGTGTGTGTGTGTGTGTGTGTGTGTGTGTGTGTGTGTGTGTGTGTGTGTGTGTGTGTGTGTGTGTGTGGGTGTGGGTGGGTGAGGGTGTGTGTGTGTGTGTGTGAGGGTGTGTGTGTGGGAGTGTGTGTGTGTGTATTAATAAAGCCTTACGAGGATCATTCTGTTTCTGAGGTTTTGCTGTCTTGTAACATTTTAAAAGATATATCGTCATCTGTATCACTGTGTTCGCTTTGTAAGACAGATTCGTTCAGACCCGATGTCTCTTCTGGTTCCGATAACCTCGACAGACTGCGTTTAATTGTTATCCCATTTTGAACGAACTCAATAGTGTCAGGAAGTCGTTCTGGTAGTTTGTAGGAAGAGTCAGATCCTGCGAAGAAGCCAGGCTCGTGGATCTGGTTTTCCTTGGGAAGGAGTGGAGGCTCGTAATGGAATTTTCTTCCACTTGCTTCCGATATAAAGCTCACCTTTCTTGGGCTCACAAAAGACGGGAAAACACTCTCAAACTCAGTTGAAATTGTTTTTTTCTTTGTTGGTTGACAATTAAATCCAAGAGATCGTGACACTTTTCCTGAATTTATTTTCATGTTTAAATCTTCGATATTAACAAAGAACAAAGTGGACTTGATTTTTTTCTGTAAGCTGGACTGTTTGGCTCTACTTATTTTTACAGATTCCTGAGAACGTCTTTGGGTTTCTGCGTTTCTATCACGTAAGCGTTTATCATTTTGATCTCGACACACTGGTCGAGTAGGTGTATTTGGTACAGCTATTTCCCCTCTTGCCAATTTAACCATTATGTCTTCATGTGTAAGATGTGGAAAATAACGCTGTAACAGTGTAGAAGTCGTGATGTTTTGACTCGAAATTCGCAAGTTTGAGAACCGGGCGTCAAACTTTTCTTTTTCTATCTTTCTTCGATGAGCTCGAATACATTCTTCGCAAGCCTGGGGGCCGATAACTTCACAGCAGACAGACGGGGTATTGATATAATTAATCGGGTAGTCGTCAGTGTCGTTTTCGTCATCAAAATCTCCTCCAGCTCTCGAAGAAACCCTAGAAGGCACAGGTTCACTGCGAATACTTTTTGTTGGTGTCACCAAGTCTCGCCTATAATTTGAGATATAGCCACTAGCACTTGTATGAGGTCGTGTCTTATAAACATCATCCATCTTATAGGTTTGACTTTGTGCTGCTGCAACAGCATGTCGCCTACCACGGGCCGAGTAACACAATCTTTCCCGCTCTGCAATGTTATAGATATCATCCACACTGATACTGACGGACTCGGATATCCGGATTGAAGATGACGTTACCATTTCTGGAACTGTATTAGAACGGCATATCTAAAGAAGAAAAATATATATGTTTGCAATATTTTATTCGCTAGATAACTTGGGGGTAGAATTAATTTCTTGTAATTGCATAAAATTAGCGATTAACCTATAGATTTATATATATGGCATGTTAAACGTAGCAATATTTGATCTTTTCTATTCCTATTGTTTGACTTTCCATGTATGCTGTTAAATTCTTATTTGAATTCATTCTTATTTGTATTCAGATCTGCAATTTTCCATTTGTATTCTAATTTCCCATTTGTATTTTAAAAAATCTTTCAGTATAGTTGTCACCCGCCGTCACGAAGAAATACCTCATATGTACAAGCAGTGACGTAGTATAGTTTTTGAAAGTGGGGGTGGTCAGCCAGAGAGAGAAAGAAAAAAAAATTACTTAGGCTACCTGAAAAACGTTGACAAGCCAAGAAATAAAAAGAATAAAAAAATATAAGATAGGAAATTTGCCCAAACTCAAAATTGTTTTTGTGTGGGAGGAGGGGGGTTAGAGTCAAACTTTTTCCCAACACCAACAACTACTACATTACCTTATATCACTTTCCTTTAGCAAAAAAGTGGGCATGGGCCCTCTGCCCCCTCCCCCCCCCCTTCCTGTTGCTACGTGCCTGACATGAACATCACCCGTGACAAGATCTTTCCAAATACTGGTATACTAATTTTTGATTCAGTGACCTTGAAGTTTGAGCTACTTTTCAAAATAAAAAATTTGTCACAAAAAGAGTCATTTTTAAATATACTCTGATTTTTTTTTTACTCTGTTAACTTGAATTGAAAATTGACTTACTTTTGAAAATGTTATATTTCCTTTACGTGTAGCTGTTTATTGAGAAGAGATACGGCTTTCATAATTAACATGTGCATAATCTGTGATAAAATACTTCCTAGCGTGCTATGTTACAACTACTATTGAAATAACGACCACTATTGAAATAATTATATCAATAGTGAATGAGAGTGCATTTCAATAGCAAACATAGTTAGTAACCACTATTGAAATACGACCACTATTGAAATAATTATATCAGTAGTGGTTGAGAGTGGATTTCAATAGTAAACATAGTTAGTAACCACTATTGAAATACGACCACTATTGAAATAATTATATCAGTAGTGGTTGAGAGTGGATTTCAATAGCGAACATTGTTAGTAAGCACTATTGAAATACGACCACTATTGAAATAATTATATCAATAGTGGATGAGAGTGCATTTCAATAACAAACATGTTAGTAACCACTATTGAAATACGACCACTATTGAAATAATTATATGAATATTGGTTGAGAGTACATTTCAATAACAAACATAGGTAATAACCACTATTGAAATAATTATTTCAGTAGTTGATGAGAGTGATTTCAATATGATAACCAAAGGTTTCAACCACTATTGAAATACGAACACTACTGAAATAATTATTTGATAGTGATTGAGAGTGCATTTCAATATGGTAACCATAGGTTTCAACCACTATTGAAATATACTATTGAAAGAAACATTTCATCGCGTCAGCAACTTTTGAAATAATTATTTCAATATATTTTGGATTCATTGTTTAATGCACTATTGAAATCGATAATTTAATCCATATTGAATTTTTTATTGCAAAAGTGATCATTATTTCAATAGTGGTTGCAACCTATGTTTCTTATTGAAATCCACTCTCAACCATTATTGAAATAATTATTTCAATAGTGGTCGTATTTCAATAGTGGTTATTACCTATGTTTGTTATTGAAATGTACTCTCAATCACTATTGATATAATTATTTCAAAAGTGGTTGTATTTCAAAAGTGGTTACTAACTATGTTTGTTATTGAAATGCACTCTCAACCTCTATTGATATAATTATTTCAATAGTGGTCGTTATTTCAATAGTGGTTGCAACAGTGCTATGATGGGTTTTTTTTACCATGACCTTCACCTTTTACCTAATTTTTAAAAACTTCATATTGAAACTATAGTTATAATGTTATCTTTTCTCAAGATACAAGTCCTACCTGCCAGTCAAAACCGATATTTGAATCAAAGATATGAACATCGGGTTTAAGATGAAATCTCACTTTAGTTCCCATTTTGAACACAAATATATGTAAACTACAATGTCTCAATACAATATCAGATTCACTCTGTACAACCCGAGAAAATGTTCTGTTTGCTACGTAGTCACGTACGCGTGAATGGGGTTCTCCATTGTTTGCACTAGGATTTTACAAACAATAGTCATAATTACACGGAAAGCACAATGACAAAGGCGATCAGCACATGGAAAATTGGTGAAATATTTTTACAAATGCCTAATCTCTCTTCTCGCTGAAAACAAAACTTTTTACTGAATAAAGGGACAGACTGCTTCTCAAGTGATAGTTACGAGTCTTTCGTCCATACTAGTATTAATAAACTGAAAGCTTTCTGATATAAATTGATCAATTCTAAAGATTAACGACTGGAGGAACCGCTGGGATTTTTTTAATATATTGACAATTTTATTTGTTTAAGACTTAAAATTTTCCTGTTTAATGGAACCGATAATTAATAAAAGATCCGTAGAATATCTAAATATTAACAGAGTGATTTGTATCAAATACTCTCGTTGTATAAATTTACATATGAGAGGTAATTAGGGTAACTCTAGGAAAACTAATCTGGTCAACATTTATCAATACAAGTATCTATGGAAAGCCGGGGCTGTCTTATATGAGGATTAAACATTATAATATGCAGTATTTCCTTCATTATATTGGTACTATTTTAATTATATGAAGTAGTTTTTACATTATATCGTGTGTAACTTTTATTATATGCAGTACTTCTTTCATTACATGTATATGCAGTACTTCTTTCATTATATGAAGTACTTCCTCCATTTTATGATGTAGTTTTGTCATTATATGAGGTGTTTTTATCATTTTTTGAATTCCTTTTTACATTATATGCGGTAGATCTAACATTATATGCAGTAAACACAACGATATAATTATTATGTACTTCTCCTATCATATACAGTATATTCATCATTATATGTAGTATTTCTGTTATTATGATGATGCTGATCGTTAAATATTATGTCCGGTCCTGTTAGCATTCCGTGCGGTAGATTTTGCATTTCGTTATGATGTAGATAGTATTATACGCGGTGCTTTCTTCTTTATGATTATGATCTTTCGGAAGCTACCTTTTGGAACCCCCCTTGTTATATCTAGAAAGTTTTACTTTTTTATTGTACTTAGATATTGTTTTGAACATAGTTTATTGATATCAATCAAAAGGATTGGAAACAAGTTCAAAATAACTTAGTGAATTCCTCTCTTTATATAATAGAATATGTCATGCAAAAAGAAACAAGAGGCCCATGGGCCACATCGCTCACCTGAGTAACTTGGGTGATGCAGTTCTTTAGCAGATCTCCCCTCTTGCTATACCTATCGTGCCCTCCCTACACTCTCCCCTTACATGATTTTAATACTTTAGAATCTACACTACCCAAGGGTGCTTCCACATAAGGTTCAGCTTTCCTGGCCCAGTGGTTCTTGAGAAGAAGATTTTTAAAGATTTGTTCTATATATTTCTATGTAAAACTTGCATTCCCTATTGTGACCCCGCCTTAACCCCGGGGGTCATAATTTTAACAATTTAATATTTACACTACCCAAGGATGCTTCCACATAAGTTTCAGCTTTCCTGGCCCAGTGGTTCTTGAGAAGAAGATTTTTAAATATTTGTTCTATATATTTCTATGTAAAACTTGCTTTGCATTCCCTATTGTGGCCCCGCCCTACCCCCGGGGGTCATGATTTTAAGAATTTAATATCTACACTACCCAAGGATGCTTCCATATGAGTTTCAGTTTTCCTGGCCCAGTGGTTCTTGAGAAGAAGATTTTTAAAGATTTGTTATATATATTTCTATGTAAAACTTGCATTCCCTATTGTGACCCCGCCTTAACCCCGGGGGTCATGATTTTAACAATTTAATATCTACACTACCCAAGGATGTTTCCACATAAGTTTCACCCTATTTTTGTCTTTTCCTGATTATCTCCCCTTGGAAAGGGACCTAGCCCTTCATTTTAACAATTTAAACTCCCCCTTACCCAAGGATGCTTTGTACCAAGTTTCGTTAAATTTGGTCTATTGGTTCTTGAGAAGAAGTCGAAAATGTGAAAAGTTTACAGACGGACGGACGGACGACGGACAAAATGTGATCAGAAAAGCTCACTTGAGCCTTCGGCTCAGGTGAGCTAAAAAATAATACAATTTATACATGAATAACTAGATCTATACAATGTAAAGTAATACATCATTTAGAGAATCTACATGTTTCGTCAATAAATTTATGAACAGCAGCAAAAATACTGTTATTTATCTGTAAAGGCAAATTAATATCACCACATAATAATAAATTGATATCAATAGAAACCAAAGATAGAAACTTAGATATGAAAATTCTTAATTATTTTGGGTTATCCATAATAATTGGTTATCAACCACATGTAAGCCAAAACATCGCGGAATAATCACGTACCACACAATATTTACCCCTATATTATTATTATTTATTTTTTTTAATTTATTCAATTTTACAAAAACTACATGTGGCGCAAGCCATGCATACAGTAAAAAAATAGAAAGATTTTCTTTTATTAAACGCATCACGTACAAATGTATGAAGTTACAAATATTTCTTATAGATTTAACATCTGTTGGATTAAGAATTTCATAAGATATACATGTATGTATTATTAAATGTGTACAAAATTCTTTTCTTAGTTGTTCATAAAGAGGACATAGAAATAAAAAAATCTTTCATCTCTTGGTATAATTGGAGTACAATATCTGCCAACCTCTATCTGTAATTTGTGGGCACTTAATTCAGTCAAAAAAGAACGAAGATTCTTGAAAAGGGAAACAATTTAAGTATGACTTATTAACTGGCTTTATTCCTATATTAAGGAATTTCGAAGTCATGTCAATACTTCAGTAGTTTACAACGAGTGAGAGAGAGAGAGAGAGAGAGAGAGAGAGAGAGAGAGAGAGAGAGAGAGAGAGGGGGTCGGGGGGAGAGAGAGAGAAAAAAGAGAGAAACACGAATTTGTGTTAAATTTGTATGAAAAGTCAAAGGTTTGAAGCAATAGAAGTCATCGACTACCCCCCTAACCTATATTCTATATACAAAAATCAAGAAGGTTTTCAACTTAGTCAAAGCTTATTCAACGGTTCTACAATAATACGTTTTCCAGAATTATAACATGACGGCCTACGAAGAGAAGTGGATGTAGGCGAAAGTAAGGAGGAGAGGACTTATTACCCATTTCTACCATATAACCAAATATGCGTGCAAAGGATCAGCACTAGATACATTCTTTTTTTTTTCTTTTTTTTTTGTACGATTTCGTCATCAATTTTTTTTTCGAACGTTTTCTAGATTTTACACAAAATATTTAATGAAAAGAAGGTATTTTAATAAATTGCATTTTTAAAAAGAGTGTAACTCTCAAACCATACTGTACATGAAAATCAGGTATTTGAAAAATAATTAGAAACATTTTATTTACATTAGCAGTTTAGAACTCTATGCTTCCAATACATTTGAAAAACATTTTCTAAAGTGTATATCAACCAAATTTCTTCAAATGTTTATTAAAAAATAATATTTCACACTCTCTGCAGAACTGTGTATTTCGGTAGAAAGTCGTTTCCTCTTCACTTTCGTTGATCAGGTTAAAAACACTAATATCCTTGTGGAAAACTGGCCATAACGACTGGTGAAGTGCCGTAACCTCTATGAGAGTTTGTGGTTAATGAAAAGAATATTTAATCTACGGTATGAGTTGTTGATTTTAGGGCTTTATTTAGATTGAAGAGACAATTTAACCAAAATTCCTCGGCAGTGCATATTCTACGAGAATTAGTAAAAAAAAATGTTAAAAGCATTTCAATTCATAAAGACATGATTATTCAATTTCGAAAACTACTGTTAACATTTATAAGTCTATAATGTGTCAGTTACAATCCATGACTAGTTTCTGACTCATTACTCATGTATTATTCCCCTTGTGAACATTTAAACTTGACGTACCGTTACATTTCTATTCAAAGCTAATTCACTCTGAATTAGCTGCTTTTATCGAAGAAAGTGCATAATTGCTTTACCTAAATCTCATTACTTATTTCTAGTGATTATTGTTCTTGTCAAATATTTAGTTGATTATTCCCCCTTTTAATAAAAACACCTGAGGGCGCTTTGGTTGCAACTTCCTTTTTCAATATTCCAGCATCATCTTGGGTCGGTAAAAATTTTCCAGCTTGTTATTGTGTATTATAAATTTGAAACAGTCATTGAAAATATTAACTGATTTGGAGAAGGCATTTTTAAAAGCGTTATTTTCAGCTTTTATGCTAGGATTAGGTATAGTTAGCCTATTGTCCCCGATGTTAATGGATTTCCTGGGGGGGGGGGGTAGCGTGGACATTATGTAAAGCTTGTAAGATGGGGTCTTAGTTATAAATAGAGGATAAAATACATAGTTAAATGGCCGGGGGGGATCGCCGCCAAGCCTTCCGCACCATAGTGGGCATAGATTCAATATTTTAACTTTTACATGCCGATACGGATAGCTATGATCGATATATTAAAAAAAGTTATTTATTGTTAAAATTGCTTTAATATAATCATGACCTCTTGTAAAGCAGTCTGACATGGGAAATTTATATTCACTTGTTATTTACCTATTGTTAATTTTATGAAATACAATTAGGTAACATTATTATTACTTAAATTACCATGATTGACACTTGACATGGTTCTCAACAGCGTTTGACATAACCTTGCACCTGACCACCCAAGATGCACATTGAAGCCCAGCTGACTGAGTAAACTAAAAATTTCCCATAAATTAAAATTCAGATTGATATTTAAAACTCTGCAATCAACTATTACTGGTTCCAAATTGTAACAAGCAAATGGATAAAATTCATCATGCAGCCTATAGGTCAGGAATAGAATATGTAGCGAATCAGCCTTATTCACATTTTTGCTCTAAAATTTTCAAAGACAAATTATTTTTTGCGGGTTAATACTTTTTTGGCAGGGCGGACAACTTCAACTAGTAATCAGCTGTTCATGCTCAGCTTATTTTACAGTAAAAAAATTTAAAAAGATTTCAGATAAAGATAAGGTACATTCTAAATACAATTTAAAATTTTTCTCTTAAATATTTTGGATGGTTTTATCAAATTCTAGCCAGATAAATTTATACCCGCTTCCAGCAGGACTGTCGTGCTCATGTGGAAATCTGGAACACATCATACATGTAGAAGTCTGATGATAATTCCTGGTGTAGGGTTTTGCCTAACTTGTGTAAACAGTTTTATTTCTGCTATCATAATATATCCTTTTAATCTTTCTTTAAATTTAT